TACTCAAAACAATCAGGGCAGATTTTCAACATCATAAAGAGACATTGGAACATTTTGCATGAGGACAAATATCTATCACAGATCCTATCTAAAGACCCTAAGATAACCTATAGACTGGGTAGGAATTTGAGAGATGTTGGTACATAGTCACCTAGAAAAAAAACTCTAAAACATCAATGAAACAAACTTGACTACCTGGGAAACCAAAAGGTCGTTTTCAGATGTGGTCACTGTAAGGCATGTATTTTCTTGAGCAATACCAAGGAGTTTATTAACTCAAAAAATGGGGAGATTATTAAAATAAGAGATTTCTATAATTGCAGCACAGAGTGGGTGATCTATGCTTTAAAATGCCCATGCCCCCTAATATATGTAGGAAAAACAATTCACCCCTTTAGGAGACCAGTTCTTGTGCATGTGAACGATATTGCTCAAAACAAGGATAGACCAGTAGCAAGACATATGTTACAGAAACATGATGGTAAGGCTGACCTCTTAAACATTTGGATTATTAACAAATATAATCTAGGTCCTAGAAAAGGAGACATAGATAAATGTCTTTTGAAACTTGAAGCAAAATGGATTTTCCACTTAGGCTCAAGGGCACCTTCTGGTTTAAATGGAGGATTTACCTTCCTTCCTTTTGTGTGTGTGGTTAGGGATCTGTGCTTTTTGTTCAATTTTGCTCCATAAATGCTATATAATGGTATGAACTGTAATTTTGGTCCTTAACTAGTGGGGCATTAACAGTGTTTGAGAACACCAGTAGTGTCTATTGTGTTGTGGACTGATGTGCTGTTGTTTTTTTGTCCACAAGATGGCGTCTGTTGAGGTACTGAGCATGTGCAGGTTTTGTCCAGGAGATGGTGTCTGTTGAGGAAATGAGCATGTGAGAGGGCCATTTTGATGGCCAGCATTTATCTATTTATCTATCTATCTAGTGAAACAAACGAGAGGTGTCATTTTTGCCACCACGTGAAGCTAAGCACAACTTCCAGGCACTATGTGACCTATTTTAATTCTTAATATTCCTGACGAAGCTCTGTTTTTTGGCACGCAACATGTAGGTTTTTTTTTTTCCTTTTTGGATCTCTCTTTGTTCCCCCACCTTTTTTTTTTTTTTTTTTTTTTTTTTTTTTTTTTTTTTTCTTTTTGGAAAGGTCTGTAGTGCGTTTTACAGTGCATCATTTGCATTCCTCAAGACAGTGAGGTATTTTTGTCTGGATATGGTGATGTATGGGGTTTGTCCATGAGAATCTGACATTTTAAGCCCGTGGATGAGTGTACCTGTATTGCATATCTGTAGCAAGACAGATTATACTATCTAATTAGTTTTTTCCATGGGGTAACTCCATTACCTAAATAGGGGAGTATATATTCAAGCTGATAGACTGATGATCAAACTACAGTGTCTCGTTTTACGCCGTCCATCTAAAACGGTATGGTATTTGGTCTGGTGTTATTAACCATTTGGATGTAAGGTAAATAATTGCAATGGTATCCAGTCATATTGTTGTGCTCAGAACATTCCACTCCAATAGGCATTAATTACAGCTGAGCATACATTTGATATATATTTGAATAAAGGTTATATTTTAGATTCATCATTGGCCAGATGGTGCGTAGGGACACGCACCCTCATCCGGCATAGATTTATAGCACTGAAATATTCTTTAACTCGAACCATGTGGGTTGGTAATGCTAACGTATCCTATTGATTCAGATGAAGTGGGAATTTTAATAAGACCACTTTTAAGGCACTTCTGTGAATGCTGCAAGGTTAAGGTACCCCTGTCTCTAGTCCGAAACTAACCTTACACCTGAAAGGTGGAGTATCCACGTGCCATTCGGTGGACAAAGGTGTGACCTTGGCCCTTTCAACAATGCATTGTGAGAGACCAGTGACTTGTTGAGAAACATCCAAGAGTGCATTGTGCGGCTCATGTTTTCTACTTTAAAAAGTTGATTATTATAGTCAACCCAGGACTGAAATTCTTTCAGGGCATTGAATAGTGCAGAGGTACATTTTAGGCCTGACAGAAGAGCATAAGTAATTCACCTGGTGTGTTGTATGGCCTTGGCACATACCTTTCCATGCCAGGAAAAAAAAAAGTTAAAATAGTTTCCAAGAAAGATACTCTGGACAGCTGCCCTCCTTGATGAACATTTATTACCAATAGCAAAAGACAGCACAAAAAAAGTGGGGGAAGGAAGAAGCAAGTTGATGCTTTTACACTCTCCTTTTGCGCTTAGTCATAAGTGCTGTCTTTTGGTATTAGTAACAAAATTTCAACGAGGAGTGCAGCCATCCAGAATATCTTTCTTGTATCACACATGTGCGGCTCACAGGCTGGGCTGGCACCCTTGCACTGTGCAGAGGAGCACATATACCTAGAACAGTGATTACTTTATCTGAAAATAGTTTCCCCTATTTATTTATTATTATTATTTCAGGTACTTGTATAGTATTCCTCACACTAAAGCAGACCCTAGCAGTTAACCCTAACTGTTAACCCTCACACTAACTGAAAACCTAGGGACATATTTATACAGCAGTTGATCAGACATTCACTACAGGTGAATGTCCTCGATACATGCGTTTTTTAAATTACAGTGATTCACCACCAGTGGTTGTTTGAAAAATATATTCACTGCTTAGTATAACCCCCTAAAATAACCATTAACTCAACCTTCTCCCTGACACTTAAAGCATAAGTTCACCTTTGGGAACATATTACATGTTCCGCCCGTTTTTAGGGTGGAACATGTCACATGTACCCATAGCTGCAGCCGCACCCCCCTCCCTCTGGCAGATTTTACAGTGAAGCTTCTCCTCATATTATCTGTCAGATCTGAAAACAACCCAGCCGTGCAGGGCTCAGCCCACACGGCCACATCATGCATTCATGGACTTCCGTGAATGAACTGCAAGTCCCAACAGCCTTAGCGGCTGTGGGCTTGTAGTTTTCAGTTAGCTACCACGGCACTGTGGAGCGCTGTGGTAGTTCATTGAAGCTTCCTGTCAAAATATCTTATTGGCTGTACATCCCTGTATGGCAAGCAGATATTGACAGGTCTGCAGGAGACCTGCACGGCATCAGCAATCTACTGATCTCTGGTGCAATGCTTTCCAGGCTCCTTTGGACAAAAATAATAAATGCACATTTTTTCACCTGGAAAAAAATGTACATTTACTATTTTTTTTTCCAATAGGTGAACTTATCCTTTAATACCCACACTTACTATGACTATGTAACCCTGAACTCAACTCTTAGGGGTCTATTGATAAAGAATTTGCATAGTAATTCAGCCAGTGAAAGTGCTAGTGCATTGGGGTTGATTTACTAAAACTGGAGCGTGCAAAATCTGGTGCAGCTCTGCATGGTCAGGATTTGTACTGAATGAGAACACAAGTTAGGCTCTCATTGACTAACTCCTGTGATTGCTTGCACTCGAGGATTGTGCCTGGCCCTGCCATTTTGGCTGCCTTCCTTTCGGAGGGGGGGTTCCATAATGCACTGGGCAGTTCTAGACCCTTTAGGTTTCTGTACATCCTGTGCGGTGCAGGATAGTATGGCTGTGTGACTGTGCTTTCGGGCATGTACTTAAACATTGAGGAACCAAGCCCTCTAGTCAAAACATGTTAACCATCTCCCCTGGCTAGTGGTACCTGGGGGGGACTAATACTATGCTCTGATGTGCCTTGTGAGGTCTCACGGTCTATGACCATATCCTTTGGCCGTAATGACAGCTCCTGTCTTGGTTGTATTGCCTCCATTGGGATGGGGGGCCGCCCATCCCTTTTGGGGGAGCTTTCCATACCTTGGGGATGCCATCCGGAGGCCTTCTGTCTGAATATGTCTGACATACAAACATGATGGGGCACAGTGCATTGATCTACCTTCTGGAGGTGCACTGGGGGCTCGCTCGGGGGATAGGGGCTCTGATCTTCTGTGGGTTGCACACCCACTCCTGCACGCCTATTGTAGGCCGGGTGGGTGTCGCCCTATAATAGCCCTCCAGTTTGTCTTGCTGGCTATCTTCTGGGGACATCTAATAACTCAGGAATTTACCTAATAACATTTTTTGCCCCATTCACCCAGAATGAATGTACATGCACTTATTGTTTTTATAAATATACCCCTAACTGTTACTGAAACACTTAAAGACTGACTCCATATTTAGGAACATGTTACATGTTCCACCCATACTGCCAACATGTAACATATTGCTAAGCAACCTCCCTCCAAAGCAGACCCCGCCTGTGACAGCATGTGGGGGTTCCTCTCCCCTGCAGCAGCTGTTAAATTTTAAATTGGAGCATCTTTGTGGGACTCCATCCACACAGCAGCATCATTCATTTGCACAGGTCTATGAATGAATCGGCTGCAAGTCCCTCCTTCCACCACAGCAGACGTATTTTCAGTTCCCAATTAAATACCAGTGCAGTTCACTTTCTCCAGACACTTTCAGTGTGTCTCTGGGCACTCACACTCCAGTCCAGTTTTCTCTGTAGTGATGTTTTCTCCAGATCTCTGACTGAGGTATAGAGGTATGGCTTTGGAGGTATGACCACTAGTTTGGTGATCTGAAGGAGTGATCTCGGGTTGTGATATATTATGTGTGTGGTGTTGTTCATTAGCAGCATATTGGAAAGCTGTTGACAGATATTGGAAGATCCTAATCCTTTTCATAACATGTTGACACTGAATGATAACTGGAAGGCACTAAATTTCATATGCAAGGTTATCCTGCCAGCTCTGACTGGTGACCGTTTTGCTATAATAACAATCTCACAATAGTTTGACTTCGCTGGAGCACAGACTACAAGTAGAGAGAATTTAGACAATGTTCTCAGGGGAATGTATCCAGAAGAAAGAACAAAAATGCAAATTACCCAGTAGTCATTTCTGCTTGCAGAAAGGCTTATAGACAATAGTCTTGTGATAATTCAAAAGTTCATAAGCTGATAATTAAATTTTATTAATGGTAATTTACAGGATTCCTGGCAGGGGACAGAGTGCGATGTCCTTGGCATGGTGCATGCTTTAATGTGAAAACAGGAGACATAGAAGAATACCCTGGATTGGACAGTCTGCCCTGTTATAAGGTAACATCAGTCACACGTGCAGAAAACTTGGCCCAAATTTTTAGTCCTGGCCGTTATATTGCTGAATACAAAATAAAAAGTTTTGGTATGATAGATTTCTGAAGCGGATGGTCGCAGTGTTCATTTTTCCCAGATGCCATGATCACTTGTTACACCAGCTGGGTGTTAAAATTGTTTTGAGGTCTCTTCCTTCACAGGTGAAAATCGATTGTTTAGGCCACAGACCCCAAAGAAGAGTTGCCTGTCACAGGCAACACCTCTGCATTTGCACAGCATTTCAGAGGTCAGCTTTGGGCAGGCTGAGATGGCATAAAGCCGCAGATTTCTGCATACTAAGTTTTGTGTACATCCTATTTATCTGGTAAAATGGGGCATTCAGGGAGTTATATATTGCTTGTATTTTATCTTTGAAGTGTCACTAAAAGCACCATAAATGGATTTGAACTCCTGTCAGGTTTTATTGCTGTCTGGTCCTCTATTAGCAAGATTCACCCTCTCTCTCTATTCTGTATATCATTATCATCAAACGTGAAACTAAAGAAAATCCCAAATTTTGGGTTGACATCAGAACAGGAATAGAGGGATAATCTTTCAGTGGGAGCACTGGTTCTGGTGATCCTGGTAACACCCTGGGATTCCCTCCACTTTAGAGGGATTTCCTGTTTGACACAAATAGCTAAAAAAAACTGACGGGTTACTCTAGCCAAAAAAAAAGTTTGACACTTTAATGCTGTAATTGTTTCTTTTTTACTTTTTTTTATCAATGCACATAAACATGCCTTATTTAACAAATGTGTTACCTGTTCAATTCTGTAATATTTAGTATTTAATTTAGTATTTACAATGCGCAAAGTGAATCTGAAAAAGAGGGACTTTTTCATTATTAATCAACTGATGCACTTGCAGTGTTCTAATGAGGAAAATAGCAGAGTCTGCATCCCTTTAGATGTTATTAATCCTTGGGAGTATTTTACCAAAAATGATTTTTCTTGCAGGGGTTGCCTAAATACTGACTTGTATTTTAGTGCAGACTTACGAGAAAATCTGTGAGCCAATAACACAAGCAGTAAATTACGTTTCTGGGGATGTTCTGTACACCAACTGTATGTAACAGAATGCCTCCAGGTTGCCATAATGCATTGAATTTTACTAACAATTACAGCGACTGCGAATATTTTTCTTTTCAAACATTCAATTACAAAATGACTTGTGTAGTAATTCTACACCGATCAGCTATAAACTATGACTACTGACAGGTTAAGTGAATAACATTGATTATCTTGTTGCAATGGCATCTCTAAGGCATTGGGATATATTAGGCAGCAAGTGAACATGTTAGACCTGAAGTTGATGTGTTGACAGCATAAAAAATGGCATCGCGATTGTTGTGTATTGCGTAGCCGCAGACCAATCAGGGTGCTCATGCTGACCCATGTCCACAGCCAAAGTGCCTACAATGGGCACATGAGCATCAGAACTGGACCATGCAATGGAAGAAGATGGCCTGGTGACTCAACATTTTCTTTAAATCATGTAGCTGGCCAGGTGTTTGTCGCTGGGAAAAAAGAAGTCACCAGGATGGACTATAGGAAGAAGGCATGTCTGCAGAGGCAGTGTGATGCTTTTGCCTAAGAAGCTGTGGGTCCTGTCATTCATGTGGATGTTACTTTGACATGTACCACCTACCTAATCATTTTTACTGGCCAAGAACACCCCTTCATGGAAATGGTATTCCCTGATCGCAATGGCCCCTTTCAGCAGGATAATGCTGAAAAAATGGTTCACAAATGCTTTGAGGAACACAAGTAGCGTCCATGCCTTCATGGGTTAGGGCTGTTTGGCAGCAAAAGGGGGACCTAATCAATATTCGGTGGGTGTTCATAAAGTTATAGCTGATTGGTGTGCATTCTATGTTATCTTTTTTTAATTATTATTTGCTTTGGCAAAATATTTAACTCCAATCAAAATTTAGCTCAAATACTATCTTATTTTTTGTTACAAAGTAATTGGCTCTTTATAGGCATTATTTTCAAAAGTTAAAGTAAGTAATTCCTCCTGTGCTATTCTGGGAGGTTTCCTTTCCTCATTTGTATGTCACTTTATCTTTCCTCCACAGGTCACAGTGGAGAATGGCAGTGTGCATCTTGTAACAAGTAAAAAGGCAAGTTACTAAATATTTAGAGTAGCAAATTCTGGAATTCTCCTAAAATTGTGTAATAGAGCTAATGGCTTCTTTTGTCCATAAATCCAGGCATTGGAGAATGTAAAAAGAGTAAAAGCTATGTGCCGACACAATGCCAGCAACAGAAGTACTGTAGCCATCATTGGAGCAGGTAAACATCACATTTTCATGGCAATTCCAGAAGAATAAAGAGAACTACTCACTGTGTTTTAAACGCCTCAATACTATTTATTCATCAATCCAGCAAAACAACCAATCAATCCAAGATGCAAACACCTCAACGCCTTTCACTCAGCAAGGAGCTAAAAGTAAAAGTCCAGCCGATTCCTAACTAAGCTGAAAATTATTCTAAACCAATTTTTTTTTTTAAATAACATGTCATACTTACTTGCTATGTGCAGTGGTTTTGCACAAAGCAACCTTGATCAGGAGGATCAGGGATGCCCTGCCGGTGCTCATGGCTTTCTCTTCAGTGAATGCACCCATAGGAAGCTGATTCTATCTACCCTGTGAAAAGAAGACTTTATACTGTATATACATTCCTGTTCTGAGAGCAGTCTGGTCCTGTCACATGATCAGCTGTCAATGGCAGATTCAGTATAGAGGAAGGACAACTGACAACGGATGCCCCATAGTAAGCCTAAGGGTGACGTCAGCATCCAGGCTCTGCAGCCATTTTCGTTGATCTCTCCACTTCACTGAAATTGGGTGCTATGGAAATCTTGTGACCGGACCTGATTGCTCTCAGAATAGGTAAATAAACACATCTTCCTTTTACAGAGTAGATAGAATAGGGTTTAGAAGGGGGGTAGGAGCAGGTTTAGGCTTAGTTAGGAATGGGCTGGACTTCCACTTTAATCATCACCCTAATTTAGTTCCTTTATAAATAGTTTTCATGAAGAGCTCCAAGCAAAACACAGAATTGAGTTAAAAACAATATATATAAATATGTAAAAGCTATTTAGCTCATATCTACATGTTATTGTATGATCTGTCTGAAAGTAAAATAAAGTACTGTGAGCCTATAGCCATAACAAAGTCCATCGCAGACAGGATTCTGTTTTCCCTGGATCATGTACAAGGTGCAGGCATTATATTAAATGTCCTTTGCTCGAACACTAACTCCTTCCATCTGCTGTTGTAAAATGGGTTCTGCAACATTAAATGCAGGTACACCTGTAATTTAAAGTAAAAAAAGCCCAAAGTGTAAACAGCCTTGTACCGTGTAGGTTTTTTACTGTTCGCTTTTGATCTTACTTGAGTTTTCCTTTAAAGAAAAAGTTCAGTGTTGAGGGTTTCCAGAAAATAATCCTGTGTCAGCTTTCAACATAAGAGCCCTACCTCACGGCCCAGTTGTACATAAATGTTTGGCAACGGCATTTGCACTGTCTGGTTGTTTAGACTGTGACACTACTTTCATATTCTGGTATTCCAATTTCTTTGACATTTGAACCTGTGATTCAGCTGTACGTATCCAAGCCATGTTGGCATCTGATTGGCCAGTTGATCTTAGATTTGTACATCTCACTTCAAAGGTGCATATCTTTTTGTAATTGTGGAGTTTTTTTTTTTACATATACCTATTACCTATATAAAGTACCTATTCATATGGAGGGTACCCATAAGAAATATGTTTTTCTTATTTTTGCAATGCAGAACTGAAGGAGATGTGCAAATGCTACCAGTGCCAGCATTCCAAGTACCGTATACACCTATATTTATTGTAGACGCAAGTAAATGAAAATTCATATTGTAGAATGAATAGAAGAGCTGGGCGGAAAGGGCGAGCATAGTCGCGCACTCTTAATGCGTGCCTCTCAGAGCTCCCACTGTTCTATTAACCCCCAATGCACTGGAAGATTACAGCGGTGGGGGTGGAGGCACAACAAAAGAGCATTTCTGCTAAACCAGGACACCGCAGCAAAAGGGACACATCACATTGAAGCTGTACAATATCCCTTATGCTGATTTTTAAATTAATTTGTTTCTCATATGTAAACTTAGCCTTTAATGGTGTCATTTGTGACAACTGTCCATGGTGGGGTTTCTACCACGTTCCTGCATTCAGGTCACATGACTATGAGATATAAAGTGAAGGGAAACCTCTTCAGTGATAGACTGCAATAAGAACTTCACTGATCTTCTAATCCATACCACCAAAGTGTGTGTGTGTGTGTGTGTGTGTGTGTGTGTGTGTGTGTGTGTAGGGATTAGATTGTGCGCTGCTTTTGAGATAGGAATTATTATTATACAGGATCTACATAAAGCCAACAGTTTGCGCAGCGCTTTACAAACTGAAGGTAGACATTACAGTTACAATACAATTTGGTACAAGAGGAAACAGAGGGCGCTGCTCATTAGAGCTTACAATCTAAGAGTTGATGCGAATGCTTCAAAAATCTATGTAAAGAGCTGTGGAATCTGTAACACTATATAAATCAGATTCGTATATTTTGCTTCTTTATTTGCTCATGTTTTATTCCATTGTAGGCCCTGCTGCACTGGTGTGTGCGGAAACCCTGCGCCAAGAAGGTTATTCAGGGAAGATTGTCATGGTGACCAGAGAAAATCACTTGCCTTATGACAGACCAAAACTTAGCAAGGTCTGTATAGCTTTAATTCAGCACCTAGAAATGAGTTTATGTATGATGTACAGTACAGTAGTTTATTGATATTATTCAACATTTTTGTGTTTAGCGCTGCAACTTTTCTTTTCAGCACTTGGTGATGTAAGGCTTGGACGCAGCTGCTCGGCCCATTCCATAGAGCTCTCTATGCACTGTTGTGCTAATCTGAAGGCCACAGGAAGTTTGGAGGTCTTTTGCTATTGACTCAGCAAACAGTTGGCGACTTTTGTGCACTGTGCGCTTCAGCATGCTCTAACCCCGCTCTGTCATTTTGCGTGGCTTTTTGGTTGCTGTTGTTCCCAGTTGCTTCCACTTTGTTATAATATCACTAACAGCTGACCTTGGAATATTTAGTAGCAAGGAAACTTCATGGATGGACTTATTGCACAGGTGGCAATCTATCATGGTACCACACTTGAATTCACTGAACTCCTGAGAGCGACCCATTCTTTCACAAATGTTTGTAGAAACAGTCTGCATGCCTAGGTGCTTGAGTGTATACAGCTGTGGCCATGGAGGTGTTTGGAACACCTGAATCCAATGATTTGAAGGGGTGTCCCCAATACTTTTGGCAATATAGTGTATATAATAAGCAAAACAATTGTTAGATAAACACCTGGCAGAGCACTTGTCCTTAAGGTGGAGAGGCAGTAGGGTTACTAAATCAATATTACTTAAGTCCGAAATAAAATATTCACTGCGAAAAAATACTGTGAAAAAATATTCATGACAATAAACACCCGGCTGGGCATTCAAAATATGAAAATAATAATACACCAAAAAATGAGTGCTAAAAATAAGTCTATTGTGCAAGAGACAATCTTCAATATTCAATCAATCCATCAGTGAACACCACTTTTGCTCCTCCACCAGCTAGCATGCACATTTACAACCAAATCTGACCTATAAACTTTATAGGTCACAAATGCTTTTGTCAGTGAATTCCTAAGCAGCTCTCCTAGATGTCTCCTCATCTGCAATGCATCAAGCGACTCTTTTCCTTTGGTCCATACTCAAAAGAATAAATCACAAGGGACTTCCCATAGTGTGGTTAATTCTTATTTAATTGGTAAAAAAAAAAAAACGATAAAACCTACTCACATTTAAAAATGGGTCCACAGACCCATATAAGCATGTGTACTATTAAGCATAGGGATATGTGTGCCAAGATGGCGGCTGCCTTCCGAAACCGGAAATGCCACCACACTTACCGTAGGTTTTATTTGTTTTTTACCGATTTAAGTAAGAACTTGTGGCTGCCCGCTGCAGCTGTTGGTTTTCCTCCTCTGCCCTCCCACTGACTTTGGATCAACCTGTCAAAAATAGATTCTCCCTGGTGGCTGGGCGCCCCCTCCCTGAAGCTGCTAGCTTGCTTTCCTCCCCCTCCTGCCGGCTGCAGCCTCTGATGGATTGATGTCAGCATGGAGAGCAGGGGGCTGGTAAACATGTGTTTCCTGCATCCTGAAGGAATTCAGCAAGCAGTCGATACAGATCGCTCCTGTATCCTTTCATCGCCGGCCACATATAAACTGTATTTACTATGTGTCAGTTTGTTAATGAAATATAGTAAACACTGTTTACTATGTTTCATTTTATGAATGAATAGGAGTCTATATAGACTCCTATCTCATTCATCTACTGTGCAGCTCAGGCTGCAGAAAAAGGAACTGTCTTCAGTCCCTTTCTCTGTTTCAAAAAAGAGGCATTAGAGATCTGTTTAGACCCCTGATGTTTCTCCTCTACAAAAAAATTAAAAAAAAAAAGTGTAAAAATAAATAATAAAAAACATAGGGTAGATTTAGACATGTGTCTAAATCTCCCATGCCTCTGAAGCCCAATCCACGTTCATATCACGCTCCAGTGACTACTGGCAGGTGGTAAGGAAGCGATGCAACGGCTCCTCACCACTTGTTTTAACCCCATTTTACCAACAATTGCACCGCAAACGCATGCATTGCATGAGGATGCGGGGCATTTGCATCACTTCCCTGTTGACCTGAATCTGTAGAGAATGCCCTCGGCATTTCTACAAGTTGGGTCAACTTTGCCATGGGCATGAAGCATCATGGCATCACCACCCTGTCTACTGCATATTGTAGCTTAAGGGTGGGGGGGGGGGCAAAAATGCAGCCCCACCTGCCCCCAACTGCAAGTCTAAGGCCTTGTTCATGTGGGGCATACTACATGTTTAGCTGCAGAGGGATACATAGGTGTTCCGTGTATCCCCATGCAGGCAGTCCCATTGATGTCAATTGACACTACGATTGCATGGGAATGCACAGGTGTTCCATGCATTCCTGTGCAGACAGTCCCATCCATATCAATTGGGATGCAGCGGCTGCATTGACACAGCCACTGCTCCCATGTGGGCGCATGACCCTGAACTCATACTGTCAGCATTTTTGGACCACCCGCATGGATGTCAGATCTGTCATTGCAGCTGCTGCGTCCCAGTTGACATAAATAGCATTTCCTGCACAGGGTTTTATAGAACACCTGTGCATCTCTGTGCGGGTAAACACAGCTCTCCATAGTTATAAGTTATGTTGTGGTTTTGTGTCCAAATTAATAATAGCATTCAGGATTTATATAGCGCCAACAGTTTGCGCAGAGCTTTGCAAAATTAAGTGGTCATTACAGTTACAATACAATTTGTTACAAAAGAAATCAGAGGGCCCTGCTTGTTAGAGTTTACAATCTAAGAGGAAAAGCCAAATGATACAAAGGGTAATAGCTGTGGGGGAGGAGCTGATGGAGAAAGTATAAACAGTGCATTAGTTAAAAGCAGAATAGGTTTCTTTAAAGAGAAGTGTTTTCAGGGATTGTCTAAAGGTGCATAGATTAGGAGATAGTTGGACAGATTGGGGTAGGGAGTTCCATAGGGTGGGATAAGCTTGGGAGAAGTCTTGGAGGCGAGCATGGGAGGAGGTGACACATGAACTAGAGAGCAGTTGGTCTTGGGCGGACCGAAGAGAGTGGGTTGGTATTTTGAGACCAGGTTAGTGATGTAGCTGGGGGCCAAGTTGTGGATGGCTTCGTAAGTTGTTGTTAGTACTTTAAATTTTATTCGTTGAGTGAGTGGAAGCCAGTGGAGGGATTGGCAGAGAGGGGTGGCAGACACTGAATGGTTGGCAAGGTGGATGAGTCTGGCAGCAACATTCATGATGGACTGAAGGGGGGGTATCCTATGTAAAGGTAAGCCAATGAGGAGAGAGTTGCAGGAGGCGAGAGATAAAGAAGGAGTGAATTAGCTTTGTAGTGTCATTGGTTAAGAAGGTAAATATTCTGTACTTGTTGCGGAGGTTGATGCGGCATGATTTTTACTGGGATTGCATGTGGGCCTGAAAGGATATAAGGATTTTAGTGTGTTGTGTTTTGTTTTTTGTTTTTTTAGTGAAAGTAGTGATATGATAAACATTTGCGCAAGTGTTTTGGGCCTAAAAAAATCTGTAGCACCTTCTTTTATTCTACTTGTCGTGCTTTCAGAAAATATATAGTTTGGGGGTCTTTTACAAACTCTGAAACTGTAAGTGAAAAATGAAAACCTCCAGATTTTTAGAGAAATTTTTTGCATTCATTTGATTTTCACCATTTTGCAAAAAGGGGCAATTTAAAATTTTACAAATATTTGTTATTTATTAACTCAATACAGAATAAACTTTTATATTTGGTAGGAATTTGCAGGAATTTTGAAATATTTGCTAATTTGTATCTGCTAATAATGATTTTAGTGTATTTTTAGCAAAAATATTGATTTGATAAACTATAGCGCAAATATCACGAGTCCCTAAAAATTAGTAGCACCTTGTTTTTATTTTACTGATCATGTGCTTTCGGAAAATCTATGGTTTGGGGGGGTCTTTTACAATCTCTGAAAGCTGTAAGTGAAAAATTAAAATCTCCAGATGTTTCTAGAAATTTGGCTATGTCAAATTTTGCGTACGTTCAATTTTCACCATTTTTAAAAGGAACAATTTAAAATTTACAAATATTTGTTACTTATTAACTCAATACAGGTTAAACTTTTATATTTAGTAGTAATTTACCAGGAAATTTGTAAAATGTGCTATGTTTGTATCTGCCAATAATGATTTTAGTGTGTTTTTAGCCAAAATATCATGGGGCCCTAAAAAATTTGTAACACCTTGTTTTTATTCTACTGGTCATGTGCTTTCAGAAAATATATGGTTTGGGGAGTCTTTTACAAATTCTGAAACCTGCAAGGGAAAAATAAAAAAGCAATGGAAAAAAAAAATGGTACGGCCCCCTGGTTTTAAAAGTGGAGCACAAGGCCTGGCAGCGAAAAGGTTAAAGTGCTCTTAAAAAGTGTCCATGTGGTATACCACAGTCCATATGTAAACATATGTTTCTTCCTGTGCAACTCTGCAATGTTCTTCACTCCACCAAACAATTTGCTTTCCATGAAATCCAATAATTCTTGGTTCCAAGTGCATGCCACTCAACTCCTTTGGGAAACACATTTACCAGATTGCATGTGACAAGTGAGTAAGGTGGTCTTAAGTGCTTTGAAACATATAATCAAAAGGAGACACAGCCTTTCTTGTATCTCTCCTTCTTTATTAAGGCCTTTTGTGGACGTTTGTCAGGGGGATGTTGTGGATGAGTAGGTCCACAACATATTGACTCTACGTAACAAGCTGAAATTTCATAGCTTTCCCCTTCCATCCTATATGCTTTTAAATATGCAAAAAAGGACTGTCCTTTTTCAGACTCTTAATCACCTGCTCTCACAGGGAGTGATAGTCTGGGTTCCAGAGAGCAAAAGATTTGACTGTTTCTACTCGTACCTCTTCGTGGTTCAACGGAGATGTCTGTCTCATCCTGAAGAGACTCATCAAATTTCTCCAGAAGAATCCAGATGTTCCAGATGGAATTGGTGTGGTTATTGGTTGCCTTCCTCCAGCAGGGAGATTTTCTGGCATCTATGGATATCAAGGATGCTTACCTGCAAATCC